TACTTGTGTGTTGGAAGTGAGTATATTCTAGCAAACTCACTCACAAGTGTTGCTGTGCATTCTTCGCTACTTCCAAGTAATACTAGCGTTATATCATAAGGATAAAGTTTGCGAAGAGTAGCGTAGTAAACGTTGTCAATTTGAGTCGGCTTTACGTCGGTGACTTTCTCGTAAGGAATCCATTCAAGTTTATTGTATTCATCCACATAACTGGATTGGATCAAGTTGTCAATGGCAGGGTTATTAACAGTCTCTGATACTAACGACATAATAATAGTTTGAATTAGCAAATGCTGTAATTAGTAATATTTAATTCTCAACATGTGTGTTACATTACACATCATTTAAAACTTTGTCTTATAGAGGGTAATTTAAATTGACATTCGTCATTACTACATAGTGAAACTCGATAAGTCGGACACGGTGGGGGCAGGGCTCACTATGTACATAGAATATTATGAATAAATTTCACCTTCTCTTACTACGGTATTTGTAAGATAAAAGTTGACAGGTAGTTACGTGTGCTTTGGATCAGATAAGGTATAGTAATAGTGGTAAACGTATTTGTGGCTATGGTTTAACTAAACTCAAGTCAAGTAAGTAAAAATTATTAGTTGCTAATAATGATTCATAATGAACAGTAGAATAATAAAGTACAGTATGAACAAAGCATAATATAGTAACATATAAATGAATTGACTACCACTACGATTGCAGTGAAGATGAGAGTAGCGCTGTAGAGTAGTCGCGAAGTTAAGGAGAAGATAAATATAAAAGAGGATTACGTTTACTGCAACCTTTCATTAGCCGTAATGTGAATAATGCATATACGCACTAGCGATTATTTGAATCAGATTGTTGTACAAAGACAGAGTCAAGGCAATTCAACTCTTAGAAAATCCCATCTGCCCAGTCCTATATAGGGCCAACCCAAACCAGCGTAGAAAAATGGAACAGATATTTTCTTGGTATAATGTGTTTGATTGATTCAGTAATTTGGATAATTACTGCATAGATAGTCTTCGTAAACACATATGGAGCAATTTTTTTTAGAATGCTTGTAATTAAAGTTTTTAAAAATAAAGTCTGCAATACATTTGGCCCCTCCCCTGTAATTACGATTCTTGTCATTCGAGATTGACACACTAACACATCAGACGAGGAACCTATTTTCACGACGTATCGGATGTGCCGCTTGTCCCGTAAACGTCGGCATCCTATTTGCTTCGTTAAGCTAATGAATTGTTTGAACAGAAACGGTGTAACGCCAACCCAATTTTTTGTCATAATAGTTGTTCTCTTATTTATTCAAAATAATCGTAATACAAGTGCAGTAGAAATTCAATCCAACACACTCTACGTTCTACTCTTCTACAAACTTTCTGTTCTTCTATCCGATCACAACAACTCGCTTCACATTATCTCGTTACTTCTTCTCTCATACCACACACTCCCAAGAAGCTCAAACCCTTCTCTTCTCAGTCGCCTTGGCAAGGATATCGCTAAACTCCTGATAAGGACCCTTCTTATGTTCTTCCTTAGCCCACAAATCAGGAGTCAAGAACGCATACGTATTTCCAATCGCAGCAAACGTGGCCTTGACAAAATTACCAAGAGTACGTGTGGAACCTCTAGACGTGGTATAACAATCTGTGATTCCTGCTAATTGTAAAAGCTTCTTGGGAGTAGGTGCAGCTACGATGCCAGTACCACGGGGAGCGGGAACTAAGCGGCAAGTTACGGATCCGCAGCGACCAGTGACTTTTGAGGGAACAGTATGTGGATCACCGAGGAGAGAACCCCAGTATCCGCGGCGAACGGGAATGATGGAAAGTTTTGCTAGGATAATTGCACCACGAATAGCAGTAGCTACTTCCTTTGAGCATTTGACTCCGAGACCTACGTGTCCGTCCGAGTCACCAATTACGACAAAAGCCTATGTATTAGGTTTTTCGGAGGAGGGAAGAGTTAAGAAAATTGGATGATTAGTGATTTGAATGCTGATTTCAATGTATATATAATATTCTACGTTACTGGTAATATATAGCATTGATTCATAATGTAACACAGGGACAATGTCAAAGTCATATATGTTTAATGATTGTTCAAAAGACATTTGCAAATACAAATGTCATATCATCCCGTTGTGCCTATTCTTACTCGTTTTCATACCTTAAACCGAGTCCGTTGACCAGCACGTGTCTGTTTTTGCACAGGCATGATCTTCATGACCTCATCCGATAGCTTTGGAAGAATAGCGTCGACAATCTGATATTCCTTAATAGGAAGAGAGTATTGGTAAATCTGTTCAAGGTCTTTGATTTTTCCTTCTTTGACCAGTCGACCGAGTTTTGTGACTGGGGCCCTTGGAAAATAAAGACGATGTGAACGTCAAAGGTCAGAAAAGTGATGCTCACCACCTGCCCGCAGTACCCATGTCTACATTTACAGAAATGTCTAAAAACATAATAATATGTCATTACGATCTATTACGCTTACCATTCTTTTTCATCATCTTTTCGACCACGACGGGGCCCACCGCGTCCACGTCCACGTCCACGCCCTCTATCGCCACGACCACGTCCGAAACCACGTCCTGTTGTTGATAGGTAGGGTAGGTTAATTGATGGTTTATGTAAGTATGTATGCACATTAAATAAAACCAATTATTAATCGCTATATCTAAAAGCAAGTCATGATGGCTAGCATAGATATTAATAAAGACGTTATTATCATTAACGGTGAAATCACATACAAAACAATCACTAGAAACAATCCCAAATGAATAAATCAGTTGATCTCTCCTCCCCCTCTCGATATTTTACAAGCGTGAGAAGAGTAAAGGGATATGCAACATGTCTATATTCTATTGCCTATGTATAATTCTTCAGAAATGTAATCTGCAAGACAAACATCCACCACACACATACACACACAAAAGTTGTAACTTACCACCACCACGACTATCGGCCGCGTTTGTGTCAGCCATTTGCTGTAACGTAAACAGAAACCAAACAAAGAACGATAGTGTTAAAAAACGTCACACTCACCTCCAGTTCAAACTTTTAATCTTGTCTAAACAAGTACTGTTTTCTATACAAACACACTACATTCTCTTTCTCATCTAATCTTTATTTTTCCTCCGATCTCTTATACGCAGTAGCGTCATGTTCACTCTCACTTATCTCTCTCTACATCCATTTACTATACAGATGGATGGCTTCGAATTTCAATCGATAACTCACATAATCTAGCGTTTGGATGAACCCTTCCTTGGGTGGAGAATTCGAAAGGAGGAAGGATTCAAAGATGCAGCGGTCGATGTTACTTTATTAGTTGATTGCGTCATCAGGAATGTGACGAGAACGGATTCTGAATGGATGAACGTGATTGGATGATGTTTTGGTGCAGGTGGGGTGTTGTTAGAATTGATTGGATTGTCATGTGCTGGTGATGATCGTGAATAGACCAGTCGGAAAATGACAAAAAGGCGCGTGGTGAATGTTTATGAAATGGTTGTCAGTGTTATTATTATGGTCATGGGCGAGTACGCGTTTATGGAATTACTAGAAATACATTACAGTCTATGTATGTTTACAGAATTCATTGCAAAGAATGCGCTTCTAATTGTGAAATCATACTTTCGAATGTCTGTTACTGAATTAATTAAAGTTGGTTTTAGTAGGTCAATTCCTACCATCATGCAGTTTGGGAAACAGGCCTCATTGGGCTCAGTGGACAGAAACTATTGCATTAATCGACATTGACCGAGCCGTTATTCAATATAAATAGGTAGGGAGCAATGACATCAACATCAATACTTGGATTATGTATTGCGCGAATTATCATTATAGAGGGTCTATTAACAAGTTATGCATTTCCAGAACTTTACCTGCATATCATGTGATAATTGTATGTGCGTGCAGTGCAACAGTTTCAATGACATGTGTACATTCTCTCATTATCACCGTCAATTGCATATAAGCGTATATTCAAACTATCAGAAACAGTTAGAACTCGGATACGCCACCAAACATGTATGAATCCTTATGACTACATTTGTATCTGCAAATATGGGCGTGCACAAGGCGCGTCGTCTTTCATAACAGATTGCCCGATGGATTCCCTCGCAGAGAAACGCATCCTGGCATTGAATACAAAGCATATCAATCGGGGATCTTTGTTATCAACCTATGCAGATGACAGGATCAAAAGTAAGGACGGGTTTTGATGCATTATTTCAACTTGCGTTCACGGACTTGGAGCAACTAATAAGGCGTCTGACTCGATGACAAATATTTTCCAATAGAATAAAATTAGCGAGATATGGCCACGCTTCATCGCGTAAGCTAGTTCATAAAACGCTGAAGAAATAGATCATAATCGTAATTATCTGACTACCTTTTACTAAAATAAATAACTGACGTACAGTATGTAATGGGCATTCCAAAAAAATGGCTAATTGTGGCCGTTATTTAATAAGATTATATTAATTGGATCTGTAAAAACAACTATATGGATGCTGGTTTAGTGGCTAGTACGCATCATCATTGCCTCGCGTATGAAAGAGCGGCAGATAGGCAAAAGGATCGGATAGATAAAGTTGATCATAGACAAGCAAGCATAACCAAGTATACCATTATCCCACGTGTAATATTTCAATTCACTGAAATTTCAGTATTGACCGGAATTTCTATATCCAAGCCTTTTTCATTTTATTCATCTTGTTTTATTACTACATTGCCCGTATTGATAATATGACTTCTTTTATCTACAGCTAAATTTGAATTTATTGTGTGTATATGATCTAACATTGTTAATATTCTAAATTAAAATAGATTGTTCATAAAATATCAAAAGAAGGAAAGAAAAAGGAAAAAGAAATTGTTTTATGCCAATGATTGTTAATATTGTATGTCTGATGAAATTGTAGCTACTGCTCTAATATACTTTAACTGGCGGTGTATGCACGTAGACATACTCGAGAGTAGCCGAATCTTTCAATCTGCATATTCAATCTTATTCCACTCCTTCGTCTCGGAATCATAAACCATCTCAACTGTTGGCCTATAAAATCAGCAGATGCCCAAAAAATTAACAACGATTCAGAACAAGTCCAATTCACATTTTGTATGAATTCATCTGCTTAATGTATTACGTACCAATAATGATAACATGTCTTGACTGCCAACACCATCGGTATCATGTCAAAACTTATAGTCTTTACTCTTACGTACGAGTTATCAGGGCATTTACGCACGACGGATACGAAAGAGTCAAGATCTGGTGTCGGAATGCCATTTATATGTGTACTATACCATGAGAAAACAAAGTAACAAGGTAAAGCAAAGATAAATGAGAAAAATATTCATATAACAATGATCACAAAACCCTTATGGTAAGCGATAGACTTACATCCACATAGTCGGGACTATCCCATACATGTACGCGGGCGAGCCTTTGCTTCGAGCTGAAATGTAAACTCTTGACGGAAGTGTCTTTGACTGTTGAAGAACCGCTTTATGAGGCTCTACATGGATGTTTATAATATGTGATTTAATATTTGACTTTCAGTTCTCATGACATATAGACATTAATTGGATTCTATCTCTACCTTGAATGGCAGCCCCCGCCCAGATGACAATACGGCTAGTACCAGTGCCAGATGTTAATTCTGTAGAGACTTTTAAAGTCAGTTCTTTTTCTTGTCGCAACACGGTCTGGAAGTATAAATATTATTAGCAAAAGACAACGTCCAACTATTTAGAGCATAGACACCACAAATATCCCGTATACAGCAATTCTCTCCCAAATACGTATTTTTTTTTGGTAACGTAAACTAGCTCTCAAAATTCCCCCTATAACCAAAATTTACTCACAATATCCAATTCTTCTTCGTAATATTGCACATCCATCTCATACATGCGTGTAATAGTCCGTCCGTTGACGGCCAATATCAAATCCAATTCCTTCAACACTCTCGCACTCTTACTCCCTGTTTCTGTCCTCCTAATCAAAAACAGCTGATGCCTGCTCGGATTAGAATCTTCCACCTTCCTTACCCACTCTTCTGTCAACCCCATGTGGCGAGCTTGAGCAATTTGGACAGGTGTAAGTTCGATGTTTAGCGAGCGTAACATTGGAGACTCGCCTCGGCGCAGAGGCTCAAGGACCGGCAAAATCGTATGGATGTGCAATCCAAGGTGATATTCGTTGTCATGACCGGATACGTTGCGTTCGCCCAGGTAAGAAAGCCAAAGAGCTGATACAGCACCTGATGGATCAGCTAGAACGCCTGATGAACATTGTTGGGCTAAAGGCGTATCAACCGTTATTGCGTCTAGATTTATCGATCTGTGAATAAATAAATGAGAAAGGCGAAGAAAAAGAGAAGGTTGATTATTAATATCATTATTATTCTTTAACACGCAGATGCATTTACATGGCGCGACACCCCAGTGTCTGACTCAAACACCAGAAACAGAAATCCTAAACAAAAACCTAAACTGACCTGAACCTCGGTGTAGCGTTCTGTGGAATCGTGACACTCGTAACGTCCGTGACAACAGTATCCGAACACACAATTCTATGATTGTGATTAAATGCTACTAGCATAACCTTATGTCCTCGTGTCAATACTCTATCACTCAAAACTGCACTTTTCACTGGTGTATCACCAATTAGCTTGGGATCGTATGAGACAAAGGCAAAATTATGTGTCGGGTGAAGATATTCCACACGTCCAGGGATGATGATGGAATCGGCGAAGGTAATTGATAAGTCGCCCATTGTGAAAGGAATGACGGAACGAGAGACCACCACTAAACCTTTCTTGGCATCTACTACTACTCCCGCGCCTTGTTTCTGTGTGGAAGATAAAAACATTGACGATTACTACTTGGGATGCATGAACTTTACATTTGCATTTCGAGGATATAAAAAGATTCGTCTCCGCGCATAACATGACTCACCCTACTCTTAGGAAATCCATCAATACGGCATGGCATATAATAGCTAACTTTCACCAAAGAAGCAATGAGATCTTTAGCTGCACCCATAGATTCATCGAATTCAATAAACCTTGCAGTGGCGGGCTTTAAAAGCTTTGGCGGCTTTGGTGGACCCAAATCTGTGAAATCCCAGAGACCCGTTGTATCTATTGAAAGTAAAGAAAATATATAGTTTGATCAGTACCAACGTCCAGCATGTTTCGCTCTCTCGGAAATATCTCTAAATTATTTACAGTTCAACCTTCCCAAATCACAATGATTGTTAACTCTAACAAATCTTAACCCCACCATCCATTCCAACACTTTACCATTCCTAACAGCCAACCTAAACCTTGACCAATGTCTTTCTACTTGGACAACGGCAACACTGGTGGTATGCACATCGGCAATCGAATAGTAGACAATAGGTATCCTTTCTCTATCTGGTATTTCCTTCATAACTTCAATAAATGTCTCTAAATTAGGCGTAGGCTTATTATCCACAGACGCAATAATCCAACCATGATCCGGGCCATCAAGACGAAACATGCCCGCCGGTTCAGCAACATACACTCCACCAACAGGAACACAATATGATCTAGCTAGTTGGTAAGATAATTCATTCAATTTTGCGCCACCTATTTCAACATATCTATCGGGCGTTATGGAATGTAAATCTTGTACACAAACGCGGCATTCGAGAGAAACTCCGCCTCGCTCAATGCAGATTGTGATTTCATTTTCGACATTTGAATCTAAGATTTGACTTAGTGGGACAAATTTTGTAATGTATTCTCCGTTGATGCTGATTAGAATGTCCCCTTCCTCCATGAATTTTGAAGCAGGTCCACCTGGAACAACTGTTTCGGCAACTAGCATGCCGATTTCTCCCGGGAATAATTTGCGGATATATGATTCGGTCTCTGTTCGTAAACCTAAGCGACGTGTTTCATCAAATGGCTTGTGGCTTTTATGCGTATTGAGTAATGTATGCGAAAGGCGAGAAAAAAAGACGTGAGAATTACGATTGCCGAGAAACGTGCAGACAAGTCATTACTCTATACATTTGTTAATAATCTTACAGAAATTGGACTTGGATAGTTCCCCTTGGTACTTTCTCTCCTCGTTGTAAATGAACCAAAGCACGTGCTACGCGATCTAATGGTAAAAAGAAATCTGTTGCTGCCTTTGTGTGGCCACCTAAAAACAGAAATGTTATAGATGAGAAGCACGTCACAGCACGACACAACCAAACCCTGTCATCATTAGTAAATAATGTATCATTAATACTACTACTATTCTCAAACACTTCAACGCCAAAAGATACAAACCTGCCTGCAACGCAACAGCATTTCCATGAATATCAATTACGGGACTTCCTGAACTCCCGCCACTCGTACTAGACGCCGCTTGCCTGCATGGAGGAAATATGTCAATGAATTATGTAGCGAGCGGATACAAAAGTATTGGAAACCGGAACAAAAGTTTAATCTTTGGAACCGCATAGATTCTCATTTTTTTCAATCTCTGCATTTACCGTTCCCTTTCTCATTCAGTATAATAAAATACTTACAGATAAAATGTACTGCACATGTTCCAGTTTGTATTATAATTTTGGGTTATTGCGAACAATTTTCAGAAAAAAAAATCAGTCATGATTAAAATTCTTGATTTTTGCAACAAGCACAAACTCACTTAAAATCGTTATATGTCAAATCGCCATATTCCGGCGCGTTGCGATCAAGACGGGATATTGATCCAGCTAGTATAGAAAGCTTCTCCCCAGCGTCATTGCCAACGACTCGAATGTCAAGTCCTACTTTTGTGAGATACGGAGCGAGAGGAATTTCGTTTATTGGCATATACTTTATTTCATTCGGATCGAATTTGAGAAAGCTTCATATGGATAGAATAAATAATATATATTAGAAAAAAAATTGACAATAAAAAAATTCTCTTTAAGCGGTATATCGCAAAAGCCAATATGCCTCATACCCGTTCTTCTTATATACACTCTCGCTTCCCACATTCTCCCTCTATTCAACTAATGCGCCTCCCGGTATATGCCCAATCCAACATTCTACTCACCCAAAATCGTGTACAGGATCTCTATAAACGGGATACACGGAGATCTCTTCATGGTCATGACACACGGCTTCACCGACAAATGGACCTGCACATGCAACGTGTCTTGTTTAAAAAAAAGAAAGAAAATTGTTGGTTAGTATATCGTACGTAACATGAATTTTGCGCGTGTATATTATTTAACAAGTCGAGTAATTAATAGCGATTAACAGGAATCAATACCTGTTGGTTAATATTAATCCTCTTTTAGCATCAACAATGAATCCGGATGCTTCTGATGTCTCTGGACCTAACAAAGCGAGAGAATGTGGAATGAGAACGAATGAATTGTAAATAAATATTGTGTAAATATGTCTCGCGGCATTACAAATGGTATCACATAAGTTGTTATATTATTAACATATATGCATAAACATAGTATATTTATTTAGCTTCTCCACCATACTCTCGTTCCGTTCTCACCACCATTACACAGCGCACAGTTACACTCCCGATTACCACACCCTTTCGTTCAACATACCCTCGGTGTCAAATGCAGCAACCTGGCTGAATCTAATAGACACTATGGCAGTAACGGCCTTTTCGATCGTGTCCTGCCAAGGCGGAGGCTGGAGTGCCGAAAAGTTCGCGTTCTGTAGATGGTCTTCATTCGTGTTATCGACCAACTCCTGACGCTTGCTGTTCTGAGTAGACACGGCATTCAGAGAATTCAAAGAATTTGTGCGCCTACGCTTTTTCTGAGGGGGATTGGGAGTAGAAGGGCTCGAACTTGCAACGAGTTGCGACGACGCTGAGCTAGTTTCTAGTTGTATGTCTTCCATTCTGTAACCGCTCTACTCATATGTATTAGACTGAGAAAAGGCGCAATAAGGCGGGGAAGGGAAGGAGGAGATTATATATGCGTCTGGGAAGAGGGAGGAGAAGAAAGGGGGAGAGGGGCTACGGGTGTCTAAGGTGAAAGAGTTGAAAGTTTTCTTTCTCACTTGATTTGATTACACACTTGTAATTTTTTTACATATTTGTCAAATTTTTATTCTAGGTAATCCGAAGTGACCATATATTCCTAATACATTACTAAATTACAATGGAGAGTGTTCTATTGTTCAAATAACATACAGAACTATGTTGTTCTATTTGTCTGACTGTTTGCTTTCCGGATATGGATTCAATGTTAAAGTGGCTGATAGGAGAAACAAAGTCTTGGCATCCGTATCGAACTATGGTTGTAAAATGATCTACCTGAGAAACTCAACCCTGTTTGTAACAATCGCTTTGCTGTCAGAAAATGGCCGATATGACCCCCTGACAGTTTCAGGCGACCGAGTAAGGCCAAATATTGCATCAAATTCCATTGTTTAAAAAGAGTAAATCTCTTAATGGATAATAACCGTTTTGAGCGAATTCCGGTCCTTGGAGCGTCTTCATTAACAAGAACAAAAAATAGAATTAACTTAACGTTAAAGCGGTTAAATTTGATTGGTTAAAATCTCAAGCGATTATCAAAGAAGTTTTACATTGGGGAGAGACTTGAAATTCAAATCGGAGCCAATATTAATGCGGTTAGAAAATCTCATCTGCTTACGATTAGGAATAGTCTGTTAATTAGGAACAAACTCGAGGCGTTCTCTGGTCCAAGCACTTGACTATCCAAGTTCCTCTTCAGAGAGATTTATCCAAGAAATCGTCAAGAAATCAATTACACGTTCTGAGGATTCTCCTGCGACATCAAGACGAGTAACTCATCTGTTGAAACACCAATTACACAACACCTAACCTCTTTTCTTTCACAATGTAAATGTAATAGTAATTGCTGTCATTATAAACAATAATTATGGTGGAGGTCAGATGAGAAAGAGGGAATAGGATAAGGATGTTCATAATGTCTTTTAATTTTTATGACTACAAGAATTTGTAGTATTATTATACGAACGGAAAATAGACAATGATGGTTTTGTGAGAAATTTTGAGGCATTAACGAGACCAGCTGTCAAAAATGTGAAGACGCGTTACAGTCTCGTAATTGGCAGCATACGTGGGCTCAAAAAAGTGGAAGGCTTGCAATAATCTATGGATGTAGTAGTAACGAATACTAACAATATAGCCATGTAAGTACACAGTGACGCTCTTTATATTTATAGTGTATCAAATAAACTATTAGTATAAAATTCTCAAAGTCCACTATATTGAAAATAAACCATATCGGATAGAATTTATTATATCCGATTTTAATTAGTCTCCACTATAAAGAAGGTCTACTATAAAGAGCGGCACTGTGTAATTGGTAATAGTAATTAGACATAACAATAAACATAATAATAATAATAACAGAACGCGTTACTGTCAAGCGTCGTACATTTAATAATAATGTCAAGATCGGATGTTTAGATCAGACATTCCGAACATTTTTACGTGTTACAAAAACATGACTCATTTGTATAACTAATAATAGTTCGCGCGAGAATAGTGATATACAATTCATTATATAAACAAACCTTCCTCCAGGCGATAGAAGTAAGCTGGTCACCATTACTGCTGAAAGGTAAAACTGCTTCATCTCTTGTAATAAAATATTTGTATCCGCTATTTATTATTGAGTTATTGGAATTATTACCGTATTATTGTTATCATTGTCTTTGTTCTTTATTTTCGATACAGATATTTTGATTAAAAAATAACTCGGTGACTAATAAGCAAGTTGCCGAGTATTTGTTTATCGATACTTTGGCGTAATCTCTTGCACAATTAATAAGCAGGGCATGAGAAATATTCGGTTATTTATATTATACTCTGAATTGACACTTTGATGTAAGCTCTTCACCGAAAGTTGCTGAGCATTCGCTTTGCGTAATTTCTTGACGACTAATAAGTGAAGCATGAAAAGTGTTCAGTTTAAAAAGACTGCGATTATAAGATCTTATGTTTAGTACAAAGAAGGCGTTTGTAGTATAGATGATGTATAACACTGAGAGTTTAAATATACTCGTTCGATCCAATAAAGTTATTGTGAACCTATTATCATTGCGAAATTATTATAAATTTATTGTTATTTTGTGTAAGTTAAAATATTCTTTCGTAATGAAGGGGAACGAACCTATTCCAAATGTTAGTAGAGTATCGGAGTCATAGAGTGTGATAGACACGAAGCGAAATGCGAATACTCTTGATGAAAATCCAACGGGAGCATTACAGTGGAAAGAGAAACATTAATATCGCAGCAGAAACTAACCTTCACTAACGTTGCAATCCATCGAATAGCTAGTACCTCGGGGCACAGGATTCTATTTAATTGTCAGAAACGCGTTTAAATAGAAAACTTTCCGCACAATAGCTTTCACGTTATTCCAGTGAATTATAATGTATTCATTCTCGAGAAATTAAATAGTTCATCTACAAGAAGCGCATACTCTGCGAAACGAGTTAGTAAGTATTGTAACACCAGTTAAAGGTCACCAATTGTTTAGTGGATTTTTGAGAACGCCGATAACTCCCCCGGAAGACGCTAAATCTCAAAGTTGTTACACGAACGCTCTCCCATGTGTGGCAACGGCAAATACTAACTAATTCTGTAATAGTATCCATTGAAGTACCATCTATAAGACCGATCACATTTTATTGGTAGAAGCTTCACTGATTATCACTTGTAGGTACGTATTATTTCTCTATTATTATTATTCGACCAAATGCTAGACAGAATTCTGATGACTATGTCAGCCCATCAAACAGGGAAACGGAAACCGAGTTCTAATAAGGAATGAACTGAGCATTTCTAAATTATTTATCCAGCCTGCCATAACTGCTGTTTTATATGCCACTTGTATAACTCTATTTGTTATTTCCTCACATGTGGAGCGTGTTATATTTATTTGAACGAAATTTTTATCCGTTACACTCCTGCATCGCGTAATGTTGTAACATCCATACGAATTTTCCCGTTATTTTCTAGAAAGATATAAGCGAGGGGGAATCACGTTCCATTCATCTCAGTAATGAGCCTATTCGAAACTTTTCGATATTGTGATTAATATCGGATCAATGTCGAGTTCTTATTTACGAATTTATCCTGGTATCGAAGATTAGTATTTTTAACGTTTAATATTCCCTCGTTTGATCAAAATAATGTAATTGGCGATGTTTAGTATAGAGCTTTAATACGACTAAACGTCAGAATTTATGGATATTCGAAATGTGCGTTGGTCCCAGTCACATGGCAATTAGTAGCGTGCTCGACGCGCTCTTGTTGTTAATTATTTGGTTCTCAATATTTACTTTTCGCCAAAGACAGCTAACAGTAAGCGTGCACGATTTTATTGCAGTGTTTTTGTTACAAGTTTTATTTGGAATGTTTGATTGCTAAATCACAAGTAGTTAACAATGACACTATTGTAAATTGACCTTGTTACAGCTGATTGTTGCCCTATAATAATAACTGCTAGTAAATCCAAAACTGTTTCCCCTTACTCTTCGCTATCCTCTCTCATAAATACGAGTGTACTTGAACATTTACTCTGCTTCTCGAGACGTGATAAGGGTTTTACATCGCTATGATAAACGGCACTCCACACGCTGTCATCAGGTTTAAGCTCAAAAATAAGTTTGTCGAAATTCTCCTGAAGTTTCGCTGCGCTTGGGCGCTTATCAGGATCAACATCACAACACCATTCGGCAAGTTTCTTGTATTCTTCTGGTGCGGAATCAGGCATTGATGGTCGTAGTCCGCCCATAATATCGCGTATTAAATCCTTATTGAATTCTCTATCTCCAAAAGGTTGTTCACCGGTAGCAATCAAATACATAATGATGCCAAAAGAGTACACATCTGATTTCTGAGTAAATTTGCGAGTATGAATGACTTCTGGTGCAATAAAGGGTAAAATGCATCTTCGAATTGAATTTGACTCGCGTAACTTCGTCGACTGAGCAAGACCAAGATCGCAAATATATGCTTTTATCTGATGCCAAAAAACATTGTTGTGCATAACTATGTTTCCGCCATGAAGATCACAAAGCACTAATCCCACTCTATAATGAAAATGACACAGACTATACGCGATCTCCCCCAAATGCTTTAACTTCATAATCCATGTCAATTTGTTAATATTTTGATCCAAATAAGACAAAAGACTACCATGGTTAGCATATTGCAAAACTATCATGTATTCTTTTGCTTCTGGGACCTGTGTGATACCATACAAATGAAGGAAATCGGTCATAAAATCGGACAAGCACATGGCATGGTTCCTCAACTATTAAATAAAAACAAATACATGTCAATTAAACAACGCGCTTTAGTTAATACTAATACCACCAATCATTGCTTACCTCAGAAAGGAATAATTCTGGTGTTTCATCAAAATTCTTAAACCGTTTGAGTACAACAGTTTCCGGCATAAGTTCTCTACGACTTTTATACTTGGCTGTATAAACCGTTCTATAACCACCAGATCCAATCTCTTTAATTTCATCAAAGTTGTTATACCGCAGATACCAGAGAGTAGTAAAATGCATAACCTTGTCCACTATAGCACGTATTTCATGGTAAAAAACTAAGTAATACGCTTGAGTAGATGGTTCTTGAGTGATTCCGATTACCCAAATATTACTGGGAGTTAATATTGTCGGGTACTTCCGAGTTAACTATTTATGTTGTAACAATAATTGATGTTAAACATGTGATACATACGCCAAATAATACTATACGTGATAGTGAAATAATTTACCTGACGAAAATCAAATAACTGATCACTCCCTTCAACTATCTTTTTGAGCGCCACTTGTGTCAACCCATTGACTACTGGATCTGGCCAATCTGCTATAAGTGTGCATCCGTGACGTAACGAGGTCATTTCTCGTATGTCTGCCAACAGAAAATACTTTATCCATTGTATATAGACATCCTCTATTCTCGTTATATTATTCCATGACTCCATTATAAACGAATCCAATGACTTGTTGCCTGTCGTCCAGTCAACAGGTAGCGGTGCTTTACATATATAACAAAATGCCTTGATCTCACGTTCTAACGGTTGTGTACACGCCAGACATAATCCATGTCCATCTTGTTCTTTTATTAGATAGTATTTTTGTTTCCTTGGATGATATATAAACCCAATGGTAACCCAAACATTCGAGATAAGAATATCTGGATGCTCATCACACAGCTAATGAAATTATACATAATAAGATGTCGATAATAATAAACATGTCAAAACGCATAAGTAAATAGTTTACCTTGACATAGTATGAATCATCTGTTATCTCAAGCGGAATCAATTTAACTAGTTTATAAGCAGGTAGACCACTCAAGAATCCAAATTTAAATCTATCCTTATCATAATCTTGAAAACAATCGAATGGAATCCATTCCAAATAGGCGTCATTTGGTGAGTTTGTTTGCAATTGGGATTTCTTAATAAAGTCATCGAGTTGGTGATTGTTGCTAGTCCATCCGTCGGATAATTGTTTATGTCCACAAATGCACCACACGGGACTACATCGGAGTAGTCCACATGCAGTGCAGAATCCATATCGAGAATAACAGTGATAAAACTTTCTATCGGCGACCATGTAGTAGTTACCATCATACTCGGTAAATCCTTTTATCAAATAATTGCGGTGGTCATGCCATGTTGTATATCTTCTGAAGTGATTATCGTCATTGTTATAATTGTGTATTGAAAGTGAGTATATCCTGGAAAACTCACTTACAAATGCTGGAGTGCATTCTTCGCTATTTCCAAGCAACAGTAACATTACCATCGTGTGTGTCTGTTTATAAAAAGCATAGCAAACGTTATCCATTGGACTTGACTTTACGTCACTAATGTTCTCGTAAGGAATCCATCCAAGTTTATGGTTACTTTCTAAGGATTGAATCAAGCTATCAATTGCTGGATTTAGATTGTTCATATCTTTGACTTTTGGACGAAGTGAGAGAATGTTATTACAATATGCGTTTCACCAATTCTTCGGCAAATAAGGTAACGTTGATTTTATGGCGCAGCCAATAGGAAACGTTGATCATATTAATATTGATATATACACAAATCATCTATCGATATGTGGCTTGCGCGCATACAATACTGAAGTTGAAATTCTTCAACGCCCAAATTAAATACGAGACTTTGGGTAATCTCTACGCCTGCTAACACGCTAATCAGAGTTTGCTACTCACGGTATTTTTCTTCAGGTCTTATTAGTCAATTTGATGGAATTAACGTCGTCGCCAAGTTGAGGTTAACCGTACTGTCTTAAACACAAAAAATATAACCAGACGCCCTATTTGTCGAACAATTGAAATGTTGATTCTGCTTATCGTATAATGCATATTGTGTATTGGTTGTTGACTTCATAACATTGATATCACTCGTTGGAAAGAAGTTGGTCAGTGAAAACTAAATCGCAACTTAGGACTGCACGATTTTGAGTAGAGACACATGACAAACTGGAGCAATATAGAAAATTAATATTTTCAACTAAACTCTAATTCTGACCTTTATAACCAATCAAAGTTTTCCGATTTGGAAAGTTCAATGGGTAATATCAATACTGTGAATTGTCAGCGAAACATCCAGCTGGTGATATAACAAGTCCGATAACCCCGGGTGAGTTACGCTTCTCATACCTCTACGACATGGCTTTAGGTGAATCTCTTTACCGTCTCCATTCACCAAGTCTTCCTATATACCATCCGAGTTCGCATTCCGACCTGTCTGGAGCGATCTCTCGGGCCGCAGTGTTGGAAACAGTCTCCCCGCACCGTAATGAAAGCCTCTTTTCTAATGACAAACAATCCCGAGAATGGAGATACCAAAGTCTATAAGCGGAATAAATTGGGAAATGTGAGATGACAATAGAGCGGATGATTTGGTCGTAGGATCATAGTGATACAGTTGATATCACTGCGATCACCTTGAGGAATTATGTCAGCATGAGAGCAAGACATCGAGCCATTTGTTGATGTTGTCGTGATCCCATTTGACAGAATGAATCCGTCCAATATTTCAAGGTTTGAATTCTTTTGGTTGGGGGTGATTACCAACTTTGATATGTGGGTATCCCACAAAGTGTATTGAAATACCACCGCTAGAATTGTACAAATCGGCCGAATTATCATTTTGATTTCAAATTCAGAAGTTCGATACGTTTGTCAAGAGACGAGTCTAATACGAGATACCAATTTTTCGGGAAAATTGTATACGCAACTGGACGGTTTCGTACGAGGATATCAGGATAACCGCGAATTCTGATAACTAACAGTCCCGTGGGACATAGTCAGTAACGATCCTGATTATATAGAATCAACAGCAGCATATATCAATCGCTTGAGTGAGATGATCGAACACGATTTTAAGTGATCTCTACCCAAGGCAGTAACATCTGAGTGTGTTAATGGATATAGTCCAAAGCATGTAAAGGTGGCGTAAATCCACAAGTGCAATGCGAATGGTCGTGAAGGAAGGAAGTAGTCTTGTTGTCTTGGAACGCCAGCTGAACGTATAGTTTGTAATGAGAGAAATCTAAAGGATGGCGATGCTATTGTTAAGGAAAAAATATAGTAAAAAGGAATTGACAGTGGGCCGCAGAGTTGTATTTAGTCTTTTTGTACGCGCCACGTTCTTTTCTATAATAAATCGGTTAACACAAAGACGATTTTGCACAAATATGTCAACGATAAATCCATTCTTATTACATTGTTTATTTATAAATACACTCCGTCATCATCATTTTCGTCCGCTTCGTCTTCAAGTCGTGCGTTGCCATTTGCTGACACTGCGTGACTTTCCGTCTGTTCGTCAGACTGCTCTTCATTACTGACATTTGCATTCGTAAATATTTCAAACGCGTGTTCTCCGTTTGGTCGTTCTTTTAATATATTTTTGATAAGAGAAATCTTTTCGCTCTGCCTGTCCAAATATTAACATTAAGAATGCCGTTCTTTTATACGAGACTTTACGCTAACAAGTTTCTCAATTACCTTTCTATGATCTTCTCATTCTCGGTAACATACATTTGTAACTCTTGATCGTGAGCATCGTGCTCTCTCATATCTTGGTTAGAACGAACCAGATGTTTGTTCGAATTTTCTAATCTATTTAACTCGTAAAGTAAAGTGTCACTGCTTAAGGAACGCAGTTGGGTGATTGTGGGTTCGAGTGGTGGCAGAGGTGACGTCATGTTAAGGTTTTCTGGTTTAGAACGAAAAGAAGCAAAGAAAAAGACATCAAGTGAGGTGAGAATGACATACACGCATCATAAATAGGCGTCATCGGCGTGCGTGGAATTCATTAAAAAATTTCCATATACATGTGGTTTGTTAAATTCCCTTTAAATACTAATCGACCGACATTAAAGTCATGATGACCCATGACTTCAACAGGAGATTTATCCCTTGGTTCTTTCGGGCACCATTTGCGAGAACAATTTTTACTAGATCGCAGGTGTTTGTCATTGAACCATGGATCATATGGAACGTGTCCACGTACTGTAAGTGAAGAATTACACAAATATCAGGATAAAGTTGAAAAATGGCCTGACCAATGGATCAGACGAGAACTGCAAGCAGAATGGGACAAAGCAAGAGCCGCACTCGCACAGTTTGTCAACGCGGATGTTGACGAAATTGCCTTTATACCAAATTCTGTAACCGGACTCAACGCCGTGCTGAAAAGTCTAGACTGTGAAAACGGCGACAAGGTAAGCTGGAAATGGTGATAATGGGCGTAACTATGTCATTGGAGGATAATCTTAATATTATTTGCGCTTGGTTAGATTCTCTTTTTATCCACACTGTCTGAATCGGTTCGAGCATGTTTGAACTGTATTAAAGATTTGAATAATGGTAAAATCAGTCTGATCGAAGTCGATGTGCTTTATCCCCTGTCCGATGAAGAAATAATAAAGCGTACGGAACGCATTATCGAAGAAGAGAAATTAAAACCAGACTCTAGGATCAAAGCAGCTGTTATAGATGCTATATCATCAACGCCCGGTACGCGTCTTGTATTGAAAATTATATAATCTACAATAATGTGAACGTAATTGATGCGAATCTACTATCCGCAGCTGTCCTGCTTCCGTTCAATGAACTCGTTTCTCTATTTTGCAGAAACCATATTATCTCAATCGTAGATGGTACCCATGCTATTGGTCAAATACCGTTAGATATGAAAGACATGGATCCTGATTATTTTGTCACTGATTGTCATAAATGGCTTTATGCATCCCGAGGTACGGCGATGCTTTACCTTCCTCATAGAAATCAAGAAAACATACATCATGCTGTCGTAACTGAATATTACAATAAAGGATTTCAACTAGAATTCTCGTGGGGTAGCTCGCAGGATTTTAGGTATGCATAGATTTATGGCCCAAACTACACGTCAATACAACGCACTCATATTATCATCACGCTAATTTGTCATATTATTTGTTCCCACAGCTCTTATTTAACCATTCACTCAAGTCTTGCATTTCGTAATAGCCTCGGAGGTGAATCGGCAATTCAGAGCTACTGCAACTCTCTCGCACTCTTGGGAGGCAAACTGATTGCAGCAATACTCAATACCGAAGTAATTGGACCCGAGCATACAATCAAGCATATGGTCAATATTCGGCTATCGATACCTAGCAATCATCCTACGTTCGACGAACAGAAATACGACTTGCTCATGTTTGACAAGTATCGCTGCTATTTGGCTCTGTTCAAACATAATGGTTGGTGGTGTGTTAGAGCAAGTGCACAGATTTATAATGATTTGCAGGATTTCGGGTCGCAGGAGAAGCATTGCAGCAGATATGTGAATTGTACGCAATATCATTTAGAAGGGGCTGATATGACGATCAGTATACGTATTTACCTTTGGAGGAAAGAGAGTACATCTGTCGTATTTATCCATATATTTTAATAAAATGCTGTGTAATTGTTGATCTAACACATTAGTTTTTTTTTGTCCGAGGTTTCAGTAATCGAATTTTATTCATAGTTCAATTCGAGATGTTCAAATAGTTGTAGTATTTCCTCAATAGGCATATTTCCCAAATTCTTCCCATCTCTCCGGCGCACGTTAACCGTCTTGGACTCTTTCTCCTTCTCACCGACCACGAGGATATAATTATACTGAGCTACTTGAGCCTCTCTAATCATCTTATTCAATGTCTTGCCCGCTGACTTGTCTATATCAATAAACAACACGTCTTGCTTATGCGGCGCTCTACCATTACGACTTGCCAATTGCTTCCTCACTGTCTCTGCATACTCCCGGGCCGCTTCCCCAATAGGAATCACAATCGCCTGTCTCGGATTCAACCAGAACGGCCACTTGCCAGCTGTGTGTTCCATTAGAATTGCCATCATGCGCTCGAACGAACCAAGGACGGCTCTATGCACAATCACAGGAATCTGAGAATTCCCGTCGCTGTCTTGATACGTAAGACCAAATCGTCGAGGAAGTTGGAAATCCAATTGAATAGTGGCTGTTTGGTGAGTGCGGTCATGTGCGTCTTTTACAAGAATGTCAATTTTTGGCCCATAGAATGCGGCATCGCCCGGTCTCACTGTCCATGATTGTCTGCATGCGTCCAGTGCTTGTTTGAGCGATTCTTCGGCACGCTCCCACTCGGAGACTTCTCCAATGTATTTGGATCCTGATGAGCGTGTTGATAGGACAAAATCATAACGTGGAAACTTGAACGCGTTGTACACACGTTCGACAAAGGCTAGCGTAGACGAGATTTCTTGAAATACTTGAGATTCTGTACAAAAAATATGAGCATCGTCTTGGTAAAACTGACGTACGCGCGTCAAACCCGACAGTGCACCCGAATGCTCGTTCCTGTTTTGGTCAGAAGATGCAAATTGTAAATTATTAGAGAGATGGGTGAGGAAACGAGTCTTTCGAAACGACGACACGTTAACGTTACAAAAAGTATTATTGAATAAACTACCGATGAAGAGCCCCAAAATCTGCCAGTCGAACAGGCAAGTCTCGGTAAGACTTTGGCTGGTTGTCAAAAATCAAGCAATGACCAGGGCAATTCATCGGTTTCAACCCAAAAACATCTTTGCTCTCTTGGTCATAACTTACAGTAAACATATCATCACGATAATTCTGCCAATGACCAGACGCTTCCCATAGATCCTTCTTGTAAATCAACGGAGTCATTACTTCATCGAATCCAAAATCGGCATACTGTTTCCTTATATACTCTTGCAATTTTCTAACTATCCTCGTTCCGTGTGGTAACATGAAAACGGAGCCCGGGCTCCAATGATGAATCATGAAAAGATCTTGCGACTTCCCTACTACACGATGGTCGCGCTTTTCGGCTTCCACCGTCTCTTTATGCGGTGTGGCATGTTGATGTCTTGTGGATATGTTCGATAGCAAAAGTCGATTTGGTGATAAGAGGATGTGTCGCTTTGGTAATAGTTGACTGTATCTTATCATACTTTGGAGGATGGAAAAAATTTCTCGTAGATATACAGAGATCTCCCATCATACAATGAATCACGTGATAATACATACTTAAATTAAGGTGCCGAGATAGATTTTCGTGCTTTAATGGTTATTACGAATAATTCTCGTGTACTAATCGTGTTTTCTCTGTTATGGATTATTCGTGATAAAAGCATTCTTTGCGTGTAAGACTCATTCCCATGCAAGTTCAAACTTTGGCGCTAAAAACGCGAAGAATTGACGATGTCGATAAATTCATTGAGAGGATACGTGATACACATTTTTTGAGCATATAAACAACAGTAGGCGTTTACATCATAGAAATAGGGTGCAGAAAATTGTTCATACGCAGTGATGACAATGGGTGAGGCATATCTATTTTTAATGTACGATTATGAAACTGTGTAACATACTTGTGATAATCACAGTGAATGATCTCCCTTTTCCCCGAGATTTTTCTTTATTCAAACCATGTCGTTAGTTCTAGAGGACATTCATAATCCAGCAATTGACAACTTGATTCAATCCTCCTTTGAAAGTGACTTAAGACTTGAATGGATTACTTACACGGAAATTACCGACATAAAACCAACTCCAATTGACAATGTCCATTACGCTAGTCGTGACGGCATTAAGATAATACTTCTATGCCTTGGAAATAGCAAAGAATGCACAGCAACACTTGTGAGCGAGTTTGCTAGAATATATTCACTTCCAACACACAAGTACAAAAATGACATTAATCAATTCAGAAGATATTGCAAATGGCTTTCGGGGCGCAACAAACTCATAAAAGGATTTACCGAGCATGACGATAGCTGTTACATGGTTGCTCATGAACTCTTTTACCAATATTATTCTCTTTATGGCTTCTGCTCCACATGTGGAATACTCCGATGTAGTCCCGTGTGGTGCATTTGTGGTTATAA